TTTTAAAAGGTATTACGCCCTTTTTACTTTTTTTTTTTCGAAGTGCCTAAATAAGTGCCTAATTTGCAAGTGCCTACTTTTAGTCCGTCCCCATCTGATATTCATCCGACCACGGGGATCCACCTACAGCTGACCAATTATAATTGTTACGTCATACAGAAGTCTGCGTTCATTGGCCCGTGATACAGGAAAAGCAGAGAATATAGGACAGATGGTAACACATATTTATTGTAGTAAAAGCGTCTTTTCCGTATAACGTGCAACTTTTGGAAATGGGGACAAGTCATTATTTGTTACTAACTTTTTATGGAACATTTTAAAATCATTTTCAGGTGGTTTTCTTATGTGCGCTACGAAACTGAAAGATAAACGACCTCGTCTCGCGGCCTAAAGGCGACCGAAAATCGAAGTCATTACTCGAACTGTATTATGTCACCTAGTGGCCAAAAAGGCCAAGAGCCAATTGTCTGAAAGTCGTAAGAAAAGTCGTTTCTGTGCAATTGGTCACGTTTGGATAGGATACAGGTATAGGATTTACATTTCCATGCTTTTGCTTTATTGGTTTCCGATTTGACATACAGTATGTAACGTATATAGCCAACTATGGTGCCGTTACGTTCTCATCAGACCTTACTGCCTTATCCAATGGTTTGACTCTAGACGCGGCGGTGTGGCTCAACGGGCTAAGCGTTAGGAATACGCTCGCCACCGCACCTCTAATTACTCTGCGTGGGCTCGCAGGTTCGAATCCCATGCAGGGATGGTTATGTGCGAGAGGATTGCTGGACTCCTCGCCGTCGTTGGGTGGTTCACGTAACCGCTGGTCGGTTACGGCTTCCTCCACCACCAAGTCCAGGCTTCCGAAAACAAACAATACAGTAAAATTTATCCCATACCCGACTTGGAATGGTAACCGGACGAGAGGCCGTGGTTCGCCATATGGATAAGCCGTCTTATCGGCTTTCCTCTCCCCCGGGATAAATATGTAAATCCTATCCTAGACCGCTATGTTAATAGTTCACTTCTAGTGGGCGTACCGGTAGCATGCGACGAAAAAACGAGAGAAATATGGTACCGGTACGGTAGCTGTTCGATTTCGGAGTGGAAGTGGTGACTCCTCTTCGGCCCATGGGCCGGGGCCACGGCCCATCAAATTGGGCCTAGGCCCATCAGGCTATGGGCCGCGGCCCATCAAGTTGTGTAAAGGAACTATTCACTTGGCTAACACAGACAGTCCCCAAACTCATAATAGGAGTATTTGGTTGTATTAAGCTTTTGTTAGTTTTATCCAGCCTTTGATTGGAGTATTTGGTTGTATTAAGTTCAATAATGAGGTACTGATAACAAAATAGAATTATGGATAAAAGATTGGATTTAAAGTTTGTGTTTGGCAGTCGTCGGGTGCGGTCGCATTTTTGAACGGCGCAGAAAGATTAGATTGACAACAATGAACCAGCACTTAAGGAATATCAACAAGTAAAGGCCGAAATATGAAATTACATGGCAGCATAAAGACAACATACGGACATCATACTGTCATAACAGAATCAACAGGGATTGATTCAGATATTTTATTTTGTGACAAAGAGTATGATATACTGCTATTTCTAGAAATTCCGCTTGAATACTGAGTATTCAACTATATATGTGTAAATAGTTTGCAGTGTAACTTACAGTGTAACATTTTTAAACATTCATTTAGTGGCATATTTTTGATTTGTTCTCTCTGTGTGTATACCGGTACTGTTTTAACAATGTTAGCCACGTCAATGTATCAATTAGGCTACAGACCTGCTCACGTGTGATTAGTGTTTTTCCTAATAATTGCTTTTATGAGTGTCCGCACACCGAATTTGCCGCCATGGTTTTGCGTTTGTTTGTATATTAAACCACTTATCACCTTTTCCGCAATGCTCAATCTAGCAATCAGTGTAGTTTTTCATGGCTTGGTTTTTCTTAAAGCTTTCATGGCTTCATGAGTATGACTATCCTCGCAAATTTATTACATTCCATTCCCCACATTATCTTTGCATGAGGTTGTAGGTATTGGTCATTATCAACGTAATTGTTGAAAGAGAGTACAACAGCCCGAAAGTTTATTACTATCGTGTATTTTGTTTTTTAAGTTTGGCTCAAGCCTCATTTAATTGGGCTTGTGTTTTTGTGTGCGTGCTGGTGGGCAGGCACATGAGATACTTCATGTTTTAAACTTTTTTGTAGGTTTTGCTTGACCTCCAGAATTCTCCATTTTAAATTTAGGTTTGTTATGGAGTTTTCGAAATAAACTATCTATCTATCTATCTATCTAATAGAACTATAATGTAAAAAATCTGAACAAAATTTTGCCCTAACCCTAACCTGGTACACATACTACAGGAATTTATTTTTTGGTTCGAATATTGACAATTTTGTAAAAATTGAAAATTTTGGTAAGATAATTGAATTTTTCCTGACGGGGCCGCGGCCCATAGCTTGATGGGCCACGGCCCATGTGGCCCAATTAGATGGGCCGTGGCCCCGGCCCATGGGTCATAGTGGAGTCACCGCCCCTGTAGCGATTTCGGATGCATGTCTGCCCGTCTTGGATGGCAGTTCGTATAGTTTGAAGGGCTCTATCACGTCACTGTAACGTTGTAGTGGCGTTTTTTTTTTTTTTTTTTTTTTTGTGGATTGGTGTAGTCAGGTGGGGGTTAGGATTGACACGTGAAAAAATTGACATGTTACGGCCACTAAGTAGAAGTGTGTTAGATACCCGGGCGGGTCTCGTGTAGTTTCGTACTTCAGTAGGCGTGTCATAACAATTTTTTGACATGCCAATCCTAACCCTCACCTGACTACACCATCCAAAAATTATGTCACTACGACGTCACAACAATCACGTCATAGAGCTTGCCAAATACTCGTACGATCGCCCAAAATGGCATCGGCGCTGACGATAAAGAACTGACTAACGTAGGCGATCTCTCTCCTATCGGCCTTATCGGGATCGTTGCGACGAGAAAACGAGAGAGATGACTGTTCTATTTCGGGTTCTCGTCTGCGCGTCTTGGATGACAGTTCGTATAGTTTGAAGGGCTCTATTACGTCACTGTGACATCGTGTTGACGTAATTTTCGGATGGTGTAGTCAGGTGGGGGTTAGGATTGATAAGTGAAAAAACTGTCATGTTACGCCCACTAAAAGTATGTTAGGTACGAAACTACATGAGACCCCATTAAAACATGGTAATAATGCAATGCACCTCATGCAATTATTTTTTTTAATATAGATTTCTGCTTTATGACAAAACCAAATAGCATGAGAATATTATGAAAACAGTAAAATATTGTAACTTAACTGACATGTAGATGAACGGAAAACTGGTAGGCTAGTTCGTATAGTGTGAACAGTTAAAAAAACATGATACTGTGATAGGAGGTTAGCTACTTTCCCCTAATTAATTACAGTATGTCATGCAGTTGTTAATCAGCACTTTCCTTCAAAAACTTTAGGGTTGCTACGCCTTTAATTGCCTCAATTCTCTGCAGTACTGCAGTATGTCCTGCATTAGAGAAGACCCTTTCACATGGAGTTGAGGTAGCGCATTTTATTATCATGTCACTATGTAAGTGGATCAATTTAGCAGCATAGAACCTCTTTTAGTGGTCGGGCTCATTTGCTACTTTATCCGAGGACGCTAATTTTTCTGAACCATCGGAGTCTACACATCTGAAATAATTTTGACAAAAGTGATGACTAGGGCTGTCCAAAATCGAATGATTTTTTGATTCAAAACGAATCGAATATTTACGCCGAATCGAACCGAATAATCTAATATTATTGCGCAATCCTAAATCTGTCTCTATTATACAATAAACGCCTGCCCTTCGATGTTGTGGTGACGTATATGCAGTTACATCTTACTTACTGCTGGTATTTTGCAATACAATGTTTTCAGATTTATGAAAGGAGATCACACGCTTGTATGAACTGGTCAAAAAAATTTGAGGACTCCAAAATTTGAGTCTCAAAACTGTTGAGTGTTAATTAAGGGTAAAAATTGCAATCTCAATTCTAATGGATTCAGTTTTAATAGGACAAGTAAAGCCTGTAGATGCTATTTTAATCCTATCCACCAGGGTTATGTTTTTTTGTGTTATTTTCAGCAAAATAATAACAACCATTAATATAGATAAAACTGTTGCTCAAATTCAAAATTGCATTTAACAAATTCGAAGCTAGTTTGATGACTTTAATATTGTTAGTGTAAACAGCCATTAAAAATCAAGAGTGCAATTATATGTCTTGGTATATTGATGAATAATACAGTATTGCCATCATGAGAAATTACGAACTCCATTGAAATAAGGTATTGCCATCATAAGGATCCCAAAACACCTGTTTCAGCTTTGACTTGCCTGTACCAAGTTCCTATGATAACTAACTTAACAGCTTCATATCGATTTTATTTATAGAACTATCGTTTTTTAAATTGCCTTTTTCTCCTTGTTCTCTCTCAAAAACGTCATTACAGATAACTTTAGGGCTATGATGACCATGCCTGAAATGGCTAATCACGTGCCACCGGGCAGGCATTAGGAATGACATGTCTATCACAAAATGAAGGCAAGAGAAATAGGGAGAAATATCGGGAAACGAATTAAGCCAGGAGCGAGAGTGGTCTGAACTCGAAGCGCCGCCGCTTGCCCGATGAAAAACGTCCTGCAAAGGTGGTTTCCGCTTTATGTACCTAATTTTAGCGATTCGAATAATTTGCGATTTGATTCGATTTTGAATAATTTGCGATTCGATTTCGAATATTTGGTTCGCTTGGACAGCCCTAGTGATGACGTATCATTGATATATTTTTTATGAAGTTAAAACGTGATACCATGATGAATTTCAGTTAGCATTTTCTATGACATCATGATACCCGCTTCAAAAGTCGAAACAGCGTTGTTTTTACCTACTTTTGATCATAATTCCTTTCTTTATAAACCATATCTTCTCATGACAGTAAATTAGGCCTATAACATTAGAGGTGTTTAAAAAAATAATCATGGACACCTATGATGTCATTGCGAATCAGCCTGTTGTGATTGATAATGGATCAGGTGTTATCAAAGCAGGGTTCGCAGGAGATCAAGTTCCAAAATGTCATTTTCCAAATTATATTGGTCGACCGAAGCATATTCGAGTAATGGCTGGTGCTCTTGAAGACTCATTATTCATTGGCCCGAAAGCTCAGGAACACAGAGGATTGCTCAGCATTAGATATCCAATGGAACATGGGATTGTAACAGATTGGAATGATATGGAGCATATATGGCAATATATTTATTCAAAAGATCAGCTTCAAACTTTCCCAGAAGAACATCCTGTTTTATTAACAGAAGCTCCATTAAATCCTAGAAAAAATCGTGATAAAGCAGCAGAAATGTTTTTTGAGACTTTTAATGTTCCCGCTTTATTTGTTTCCATACAAGCTATTCTTTCATTATATGCGACTGGTCGAACTACCGGTGTTGTTATAGATGCCGGCGATGGAGTCACACATGCTGTGCCTATTTATGAAGGCTTTGCAATGCAACACTCAATGGAAAGAATTGATTTGGCTGGCCGTGATGTCACCAGATTTCTTAGAATGTTACTGAGAAAAGAAGGTCACAATTTCAAAACAACAGCAGAAAATGAAATTGTAAAAACAATCAAGGAGAAGGCATGCTATCTTGCACAAAATCCCCAGAAAGAGGAAACTGCAGAATTAGAGAAGAAAGCTTATGTATTACCTGATGGAAGCACAATAGAAATTGGTACAGCTAAATTTAGAGCTCCGGAGGTTCTATTCCAACCAGATTTAATTGGCGAGGAATGCCACGGCTTACACCAAGTTTTATGTTTCTGTATTCAAAAATGTGACATGGACTTGCGTAGAACATTGTATCAAAATATTGTGCTATCAGGAGGCTCAACATTGTTCAAAGGGTTTGGAGACAGATTACTGTCAGAAGTCAAGAAGTTGGCACCAAAAGATATCAAAATACGGATTTCTGCACCACAAGAAAGATTATATTCAACATGGATCGGAGGATCAATTCTAGCTTCCCTTGACACTTTCAGAAAAATGTGGGTCAGTAAAAAAGAATATGAAGAAGATGGAAGCAGAGCTGTTGCCAGAAAAATGTTCTGATTTGAACGATATATCCAGTCTCATGAAAGTGGAGAGATGATGCAGTAGGCCGAAGTAATCATTACCTATGTGTCATTACCTTACTGTTTTAGAAAATGAATGTCCATTATTACACATCAATAATCCTAGTGAAATTTATGCTGAGGTGCTTAAAGTACTATTTTGCAGTCCTATCTTGTGCCCACATCAACATATTCTAAAATTCAACCTCGAATAAATTTTGGATTTCTATTTTTCCGGAAAATTTTAATAAATGTGTTAGATTTTTTTCTTCTCAATTTGACAAAAAAGCAAAATCAAATAAAGATTTAAACAAGTAATTTCAGTCCAATTCTTTGAATACCCCTATACTCTGGTTTGCAACGTATAAATATACAACTTCGCTTTTTTTAACTTTAGTACATTTTGGTTTGTTGGTTTCTTTTTGTTTTGTATTGATAGCTAGATGTCGGAGAAAATGTTTTGAAGTGCCACAGCTATGGTAAACAATTGAATACACAATTGAAAAATGTGACTGAAATAAGTAAATTACATTTTTTGGATTAGTACTACAAAATAGCGCACACATTATAAAATTCTAAATATGCTTTTGCAACCAACGTACCAACTGGTGTGACAAAACATTTTTTCTAAATTGTATGTGTGGACAAGTGTATATGTTTTAAAACCATGACTAGACTTTAAAATACCCAGTCAGCATTTTCTTTCTTGGTCATTGACGAATCCCGCTTACATTATGAGATTATAGTGGTGTATTATACCGTACTCTATTAGACGACCTTTCAGTAAAGTGAACTTCACTGTATAGTGAAAGTACACCGCAGTTTTGAAGAAATTCAATCCCAGACCCTAAAAAAAGTCAGGCATCTAAATAAAGGCACTTGCATAAAAACTAAGTATGGTATAAACATCGATCAATACTGTCAGGTTTATACATCTTCGAACCAGAGAACGAACTTTACCAAGGCTCATCACATGCAGCGTGATGTATCAAAAATACCGCAACCCTAATAATTCATAGAACTGATGAGGCAAATTTGAACTAATTGCTACTAATTTTACCAGTGGTATCCAATTAAAAAAAAAACTGTTAATTTGAAGTTGAGTAGAATATTTGGGAAAAGTGAGACCACACCTATTATATTGGTCAGATTCATAATGTGGACATTTCATTCATGTTTCCTTCCAATTCATTTTTCTTGAAGTTTATATTGTCAACAACTTTTTTAACCAGACCAGAGAATTGTTCAGCAAAAAATTTAGACATTAGGCAGCTCAATTTGCTACTGAATCTTTTTGTGTATTTAAAATGATATTAAAGTGGCCAGTCTAGGTTTAAAATCTCATGTCTTCGCACTGCACTTACTAAAGATTAGATTATGTTCAAACATATTGTTCCATATTTTTCTTTGTCATACTAATCTTCATTTAACACATTTATTCAATTAGCTATTCTCTTTGAAGTTTCAATGGATATGTGAATTCTAATTTGGTGATTTCCATGGTTTAGTTAGCAGTCACAATATGTTATTGCTAAATTGTGTATGGATGAATTGCATGAAGTAACGTAACTATGAAGTATATTATATTTATTTGTTTATGAAAGTACAATGACTAAAATTGTCCAAATATGAAATGTTCTCCCTCTGTGGTTGATGGAGAGATTGTGAATTGCGGAGTTTAGGAATAATAACAGGCAATCATTACTGAGCTAGTGATATATGGGCTTTGGTTGTTTTGGCATGAGTTCGTACGTCGTGAGGCTTTAAACTTTTGCAGCTGAGAGACCGGGTGACGGGATATTGCAGCATTTACTAACAACACGAATCGCCGTTAGGGCAGGAGTGCATTTTAAATACAGCACAACGCGGCAGCTGTCAAGTCGGGACGCGATTGCGGGCACTAAGATATACCGTACTCTATTTAGCATACGCCCTACAAAATCCAAAAAATATACTTAATTTATATATAATTTTAAAAAATTATGCACAAGGGAGAGATTAGGATATGTCCAGATGTCGGTAATGCACATACTCTTTTTTTCCCGGTTATAATAAAATTCCTAACAGCAAACAAGATCCATGCATTTATTAGTTGATAACTATTTCATTTATTGAAAGATATGCGAAAACATATATTTAATACAAATTGCTCCAGATTTGCAGACTCCCCTTCCACTCTTTTCGGAAATAAGATTCATCTCAGGGGGAAAAGTTCAGAATAATAAAATGGTCAACCACCTGACTTGAGACTTCCCTATTAATGGCTTTATATCCAGTGTAATGAATACCAGGGAATATCAATTTTTATGCGAATTGTGTAATTAAATTGCGAGTACAAAAAGTTAAAATATGAAAACAAAAGCAGCTCTCATAACCTTAGTTCCAAATTTATATTAAGCCGTGTATAGTCTGAAAATATTTAATCATAAAACTGATTTGATTGAAACACTTTTGAAATACTTGAAGATAAAGTTTCCTATTACCCTTGAATAAAAAAGTACAAACGCATATATGAAATAAAATTCTGACACATGTAAGATAATCATGAGCAAGGGAATTGTCAAACTCTTTTAACTGGAACCGGTTTATGTTCAACAGAAAATTTGCAAAATCAATGCGAATACATGGAAATTCAAGTTTGGTGAAGCAGAATAATTTTGAGCCTATTTTTTCGAATTTCTACATTTTATATTGTTTGAGGTATAAAGTCTATTTTTTTTTGTCTGACTATCAATAAGCCGAATTAAAGCATTCGAAATGATCACCAATTTGGAAAGTATTCGAATATTCAATTTGTTTTTTAACAACTATCGTACATGAAAACAAGAGAGCTATGCTCAAATATATGGACACGTAGCGCCACCCAATGGCAATAATTTTGATGACGTCATAGCGAAAAAAAAAGTAATAGCCTTCTGGAGAAAAATTTTATCTTCAACCACTGAAAATTTCAAAGCAATTGGTCCAGTATTCGAAGAGAAAAGCGACTTTTTAAAAACGTGTCAAAGAACAACAACAAGGACAACAAGAACAAGAACAACAACAACATAATATTGAAACGATCGTTATGTCCACTACGTGTCCAATTACTGTGTTAAGGTTACTGTGAGTATCTCATACACAAGATAAAACAAAAATCATGTAGAGTCTGCTTTGTTGTCATCATACAGTCATAGCAGACACCATGATTTAATTTCTTCCCCTTCTTCTCTCCAAGCTGTAAGACAGAAAAATTATTGATGACTTGGGTCATCTAAACTTCGGAAGTTTGAAAACAAACACTTGCAAAGACGCAGCGTCAGTGCCACAGATTGGCAACAGTGTCACAAGAGAAAATTTGGAAGATCTACGCAGATACTCATGGCTATGGGGTCGGAAGAAGTTCAGTCCGACTTTGAGTAATTTCAAACTCCGATTTATTCGGAGTTTAAAATATCAAACTCCAAGTCCGAAATCCGATGCAACGAAAGCCTGTTTTAATTTGATAGGTCCAATCCGATCGACTCCTTCCAGAGTATAAAGTAAAACTCCCGACTTCTCCCAACCCGACTTCTGATTCTGATAGTTAATTGAAAATAATTCTATATTCACTAGGAGTCGTCAATGAACAATAGGTATAGCACACGAAAGCCGTTTAGGGTGTGTCCACGTGCTTTTGAAGATTGAAACCTGTAATTGGGACCGAACTCATAGTACCACTATTAAGTAGAAGATTGGCCCTGCAATGTGTGCCAGAGAAATAAAACAAGAACGGTGACTGTCCTGGCTTTTCCAGGTCGTTGACGCACTAAACGTAATCTTATATAAAAATTGGTGTCTCAGAAATTTCGCGTCCCACGTGTCCCATAGGAAATACAAATGTGTGCTGTCCCCTTCCATCCCCTGGGACGTTTCCCATGGACAAGCGTGGAAATTAGCATTGTTGATATTTACACTTTTTCTTCAAACCGCCAGCGTGAGTCAATCCGATAATCGGTCTCTGACAATAACATAGAAATTTTACTCAAACTATTTATGTTATTTAATTAATGTTACAATTAGACACTTGATAATTGAACTCGCATCACGCGATCTGTTTCAATGAAATTTTCATGCGATACGACAAGAGCATGATTGCAAGATTAGCTGACAATAGAAAACTCAAAACAAACAAAAAAGCAAAAATAATGTGTCTTAAAATATCAGAAAGAAATCAAATGTTTATCATTCAATTAAATGTATACTCTGATAGATTAGTAAAGAGTACGTTGACCCTAACGCCATAATTATTTTATCGTTGCTATTTGCACGCTCAAGGACACTGCCGCAAATCGAATTTACATAACATAATATTTATATTTAAACTGTGTCTTTCGTGGTTCCTTTCATAATGCGGTTTTAGCTAGTAATGTACGCTTTGTTGAAAAATTTTTGCAAGGAAAGAAGACAAAAAATTCCAAGATGAGCTCAGGAAATGACACAACGGTTTCCGATCAGAGTCATCAGTCTTTGATCGATGAGGACATGTTCACAATTGTAAGAAAGAAAAATGGCCATTTAGAACAAGGCAGAGCCATGGTACGTTAAAAAAAGGAGACAAAATTTCGACAGAAATTTTCTCATTTACTCATCTCGAACGGGACGAATTCGATAACACATATCGCTGGAGTTTCTACATCGTTAACAGACATGGCATAAAATTGTATGTCACATTTAATGAAACTGGGAATGTACATCTCGTACCAGCCAGCACAAACATAAATGACAGGTAAATGTTGTCAATTCTTCGAAGCTTTGTTCATTACCTGAGCATGAATTCTGTCAAATAGCAAGTTTTCTGCTTCTACACCATTCTTCATATGCTACATGGAAGATGGATAAGCGCATAGCGCCTAATAATCGAGTTCAGCCATAATTTCACCTGTGTCGCATGCTGCCTATTAGCCTACTACTACATGCAATGAGAATTGAACCCACATTGAATTTTCTATATAAAAATTTTAGGTCTTTCGACGTTCTTCTACGGTCCGATGGAGGTGTGTTTCTGAGACAAACAAACTGAACAGATCAAAATTTGTGACCACGGACAGTGCAGGACATCTCCACATGGTTTCCGAACAAAATCCTGGCAACGATTTCGAGTGGTTTATCCTCAAAACTTTGCATGCCATAGAACAGTAAGTCCACGATCAACAATTTGCCTTCCGCTGAAGCATATTTCTTGAGTTGATATTATCTATTAGTACTATTATTTTGACATTTATGGCATTGCAGTTTCATATTTAAATTTCAGAATAATTGAAATTTTTTGTTGATTTTATTCATTTCTCGACTATGTATCTTACTATTGTTTCAGCCCCAAAATGCCCCATTACAAAGAGATGGGCGTGTACCAAGGATCCAATAAATGAATAAGTAATAGTGTAGGGGAAAGTGGGGCACGTTGGGACATGGGGCACAGTGGAAAATCAGCTCTCTCACTGATACTATATCCGCAATCCTGTCCGCGGTTCGATGTTTCAATCCGCCCTTTGGTGAGTTACAACGTCCCCGCGAACGGACAACGGAAGGGTAGTGCGGCGCAAGCTATGAAGTGAAATTGGTTTTGGAAGGTTGAAACTAAAATTTCACCGTTCCAGTTTTTTCTTTTTTCTACATTGGACTTTCCAACATGACAAACCACCGTCTGATATTTTTCAGCTTTAGTCCACTGTAGAATATTCATAACGTTGGCGAGTGGATGTGCCTTCCAGATTTCGCTGTGGGATAGTCTGAAAATATTTGTTGCCTATGAGGAACAATGGACCGGGGCACAGTGGGACTTGCCCTACAGTGCACAATTCGACATTGTTTGATACAATAAGTGCTTAGAGACCTAGATATGCGGTATATTAAGTGTAATATTATGGTTTCTTTTGACCCATGGCCCAATATGGAATATATTCGAGAATCAATAATATTTCCAGATTTAGATTCGAGGGAAGAAATAATCAAATTTGTTTGCGAAACTTTTTGTCTGATATCTGAACTATTTCAGTTGAACATTGATTTTAAAAATATTAAAGCTTCAAATTTGAAGTCTCCCTGTTCTTTAGACGATTATGCTGATTAATTGCTTATTTTTAAGGGCATACTTCGTTGAATTTTGACGGACTGACCCATGGGGCCCCAGGGTCTGTCCGAATGTGCCCCACAAGTGGGGTACAGTGGGACACTTGACAGACGTTTTTCAAAGCATTTTGGTAGTAAGATGTGTGTCGCAAGAAAATTTCTTATTCGCTGAATGTAAACTACATTTACCCCTCTATGCATTAGTTCCGCCAACTTAAGGGAATATGCAGAATTAAAGGCTCAAAATATGCAAAAGGAAAAAAGTGTCCCAACCTTCCCCACTTTCCCCTACCTTCCCACAGCATGACTCCCGTAAGTCAAACAAGCGTCGGACATGGATGGTATGTTACAATAGGTGGTGTGTGGACGTTTGCTTCGGGGTTGTGTTACGCTTGTCAACTAGACGCACATGGCAATCATACAATCTATTTGGATAATACTGTCAACGAATCCAGGTACTCATTTGGTTGATAAAGAAACACGATCCTTAATGAATCTTAATACAATTAGTATATAGTCCTGTAACTTTGCAAAAGGATTATCGCTTTCTTTAATATTGTCATATCATCTTTCTAAACAGCCGATTGTTTCCTGCTGAAGGAGAATCAGAGAGATTCATATTCCAGGCACCAAAAAATGCTGATTTATATTTGAGTCATGACAATGCCAATGTAATACTGAAAACGAAAAGTCTTGCTACACGGTGGGTAATAATGCAAATTCATATGTCATATCATGACAACAACGGGGTGGTGAATTTCTACCCTCCTCTGCCGAAAGGTATAACCGGGCACCCACGAACACGTATTAGATGTATGTATTGTGATTTTCCCACTAAATAATATGAAAGTTACCGTTAATTTTAGAATCGTCATGGCCTGATTTTTTGATCTATTCCTTATACTGTCAATATAATAAAACAATTGTAATCAATCAATTGAATTTTATGACTTCTACGAATCAGTTTATTGGTGGTGGAAACAAATAAATGTATAACCCATTATAAATATGTGATTTTATTGTTCATTCAGTTAGTTCAGCAGTTCATGTTAGTTGAACTCGAAACAGGCAGTTGAAAGACATCAGGTATCAGTTTCTTCGTGCTCGACAAACAAATAAATGTAAACTCACTTAGCTGTGACAAATGCGCCGTGTTTTATCAGAAGAGAGATAAGATTATTATAGAATATTAGATAAATTAACAACGAACAAATACTTAAAAACAATCAACGGATAACTTGGCCACACCTTATTCTTAAATACACTGACCAAGTGGCAAAGCTCGTTGTATTATTTGTATATCCGAGCACTTATACCAGAATAAAGAATCAGGTAAAATCAATTATTTACCCATTTTTTTGTGTCGCGATTATTTGTTGTGAGGGTCACTTCTCGGAAAAGTCTTGGGACTTGTCATCATTTTAGGCCAATTACTAAAAAATGCATACGATTATACGTGCTTCTACGGACGGTTTTTTGCTGCCTGATATCGCGACTCGACAACTTTTTATTTAAATTTCACCCTTACTCCTGTTCAGGGTGCTTCTACGGACGGTTCTTTGCTACCTGATATCGCGACTCGACAACTTTTTATTTAAGTTTCGTCCTTACTCCTGTTCATTCAAAAATTAATCACTTACCGAATGATGTCACAATCTTATTCATCCTTTTTCATGTTCAATTTTGGTAACAGAGAATACGATAGCTTGACCTGATCGTATCACGAAAACAGTGTGCTTGTCGGTTATCTGTAAAACTCTTGTATTTTACTTCGCAATCTAAATTATTTGAGTTGCTTGCTTCAATTGTTACAGATGTAATATAAAAAGAATGATTAATATAAAACTTCTGAGAAACCATGTTAACGATTACCCAAAAGTTTATCACAGTAAATAGATTTATGCGAACAAAACTTTTCCGAATATTTATTTTTATTTTTTACTTATGCTATCGCGGTGATAACTTAGAGATGAAGACTCCATAGATAATGTCATTAAGCTGTGTTACGTCACAGTGGCGTAACTACCCATTGGATCTTGTGGATAAATCCAGGGGCGCCACGTTGCTGGAGGGCGGCAAAATGTGGCAAAACGTTTTGAACGAAGCGGAAAAACGTTTTAAATGAACCAAGGCAGTCACATTAAATGACCTAATTTACCACTGAAGCCATAAAATTTAAACACAAGATATACCTCTAAACCAGGTGTTTTATGGCTCGTGGCCCCCTTCCAGCGCCCTTTTGCACTCGCGGTCTTCGTGTTCGCCATTCCAAAAAACGAAATGTGTTGGATTGTATTAAATTTATGTGTTTAAGACCTATTATGGAATGCAAAAGCAAACCATAGACAAGAAAGTAAACGCTCTCCAATATACAATCAAAGGGAATCTTGCGCTTAGGACTGTCTGACGAGGTTTCTCGTATTGGGCGCAGTCTTTTTCATAGCTAGACGAATGTCAACATTAAGACGGTTTATAAATTTTGTTTTTGTGGTAATAAAAATTGGCTTTTGCTCCGACAGAAACCCGAACTTAGTCAATGTGCGCTGTCAAATCTAACTCGCTTGGCTGCAAAGAAACCGAGGACAACGTCTTTCACCGGGGGTGATTTTTGTCGCGGTATTTTGGAGTTCAGATGGACGTAATGATTTATTGCTCATTACATACGAGCAATACCAGCATTAATCACATTCTCTGGCATCTCAATTTACTTTGGTAAAGTCAACGGAACTGTTGTTGTTGGTACATCTGTCTGTGCTTGAAGGCCCAGGTACGCAGCTATTCATGTGTTCATCCAAAACGGAACTGTAGTTCAATATTTGTAATTGCGTCTATAATACGCTAGCGAAGATTATCTCGCAGTCGAGTGGAATTGCCATTCTGTAGGTTAGGTTAGACCAGACGGCCTACCGGCGAACTATTTTCATTGGTAGATTTCAAATTCCATTATGATCAAACAATTCACGCACAAGAAAGTGAATACTGTACACCCTGTGATCGCAAATAATCCTATTCAGATTCTATAATCCTAACACCTTATTTATTCACGAGTCTCAAGCTTTACCTCACTGTTGCCGTTTTTTTCACAAGCTGCGAATAACGAAGTCAAAACCTAAGTTGATAAAGTTTTACTTGAGATCGACCATGGGAGAAAGCAGGCTGTCTGTGCCAGCAATACTGCCCATTGAAAGTGATTTAGTCGAGACATTATCTTTTGACGATATAATTTCTGAATTTACTTCAATGAAAACTAGAATTTGGAACCTTCGATAAAATTTACTATTCACTGCTTTAATTCTTCGTTTGTGTAAAATTTTATTCAGCTTCTACGGCGGTGTTGAGGGGTGGCATTCCGCGCAAAGATCCAGGGGCGCCACATTGCGTTGTTACGCCACTGTTACGTCATACTTGAATAGAAATATCAGAACGCAAAAATGACGAGTATCGGTAGCTTGAGTCCATTCGCGTATCAGTAATGTCCTCTAATATGATACCGATACAATTTTAGTTGTAAAATGTACAGATCAGGGTCGTTCAAACCCAGACCCATCGTATCATTATCTGTGAAACGCGTCACATTTGCTGATATAGGTAACAATTGATGATAACAAAAACATAGCATTTAGATATTGTTACTTCATAAAAAATAACCGAAAAAAATCTTCGGACACATTGTCGAAACACTAAGGTTTGATTCACTTGTAACAGAAGGATAGCTGAGACATTCAGTGGACAAAAGTGATTTTAGTAAGCTAAATGAATAGTGTGCATGGCCAGTCTAAACTGGTTCAAAAGTAAGTACTTTATTTCACAAATTGATCTCTTCCTTCGGGAATATTTGTTAATAATATCTCCATAGTCTACATAGAAAACTAAAGCATTATACTCCATACGCATTGTCTATTTGTAATCAGCGTGAACAGTAACACTAAAATTGGTGCTGATATGTCAACTTAGTAAATATCAATTAATGTACTGATATTACCCTGCTGTAGCCTACTTCACAATTGCCGAAATTTAGTAATCTGCAGTGAATTAATTGTAAGTCGGTTTGTAAATACGAGTTCGGAAGAAAAGCTAACCAATTCAAACATAATTTACAAAGAACAAGAGACAACTCTTAACATACGTGTTGATATAAAAACATTGATTAATGATAAATTTCAAATGACTTGGGACTAACGTGGTCACTGCTTCCAAAAAAATTTTAAGTAACAAGTAATTTTTAAAACATGAAGATGATCTCAAGATGACGTCATCATTTCTAGTGTAGCGAATGTGGATTGTGGTTTTTGATGTTATTATTGTTATTTAACCCTTTATAATAATAGTATGTTGAATTCAATGGAAATAGGTCATTTCAGCTGCTTCCCTGATTAATAGTTATCGCGACAGCCCAAGCCTTGGTTTTTTGCCAATTTGATGACGTGTGTTTCCGACCTCGCCCGAGCGTTGAAATATGTGTATTTTTCATGTTCTTATCATTTCTGCTTTCGATTCGACCGTTTAACTGCATTATGGTTTAAGTGTACATTCCAATATATCTGTATTCGGATTCTTCAATTGGATTGTGCATATATTTTACAATATACGAACATTTGGCATTGCAATACATTGTGTTCTATTGACTTCTGAGGGGTTCAAATCAGTGTTACAGTCAATTAAACGTATGTCGGCCAATAACACCTAAGTGAACGCGCAGGTAGGGCCATTCTCCCTTACACTAGTATACTTGCTGTTGACACCACAAATACTTCATTTCAATACCAAAATAGTATTTTCGTTGTAAACAAAAAAAACTCATTAAGAAGATGGTTATTAGCGTTTTATTTCGGCTTAGTTAATTTTTTGTGGCAGGCTCTATTTCGTGAATTTTTACATTTTTTCTTCAAGCATTAAGCGTGACCTCGATAACCGGTGTCTTAACAACTCATAAATTTTAACCAACCCATCAATATAATTTTATGTTAGAATTGGACAAATAATATTTGAACTCATATTACTTGATCTGTATTGATAAGGTTTGATGTCTTCCTGCAATAAGACAAGAGCATGGTTGCAATAGAAAACGCAAAATAATCTGATATGTCTCACAAAATACCCTGGATGACAAAATACCCTTCGCAAGGCAAATATGTAGCAATAAGTTGAATGTGTACTCTGATAGAGTGTCAGAAGGTAACTTTACGCCACACCTATTTCGCCAATATTTGCACACCTAAGGACGCCGCCACTAATCAAATTTACTTTAACACATTCACATTCGAACTGCCGGGTTCTTCATAATTTTCTGATTTAGGGCAATCATTATAGGATTGCGGAGATCTATCAACTAAACGCAGGAATTATCTCTTCTGGAAGGAAGGAAGTATCTTTTCTGTCGCCTACACATATGCACTATAGAATAACAGTCAATTTGTTTTACTTAATGACTGTTTGTTTTGACCTTTATTGTATTATATATATATATATATATTTCTATTTGTTTTCGCTGCTTTTCATTAAAGCGCTTTTATGCTGCATTAAGATACCAGTCAAAATATAGAAATGAGTTCGGAGAACGTCCATACTTCTCAGTTGATCGTTCCTTCCTGGGTCGAAGAAGATCAATTCATAATTGCTAGGAAGAAAAATGGTCATTTGGAACAGTGGCACACGTTTATCAATTCGAAATCTGGGGAGAAAGTTTCGACTCAAATTTCTTCGCAACCTCATTACTGGCATTTGGAAAGGCATGGGCAGGACAATACATACTGTTGGAGATTTTATGCGGTCAACAGTTCAGGCACTAAATTATACGTGACATATGATGATAACGGAAATGTACATCTGGATTCATCAGAGATGGAATCTAAGAAAAGGTATTACAAAATTCTAGGTCTAGTGACAACCCATAGAGAAATAGGTATATATGTACTAGGTCCAATGAGGTAAAGATTTCAGCCTTTTAATGTCGTTGCACCAAGCTGCGATTCCGAATTCAACTTTAAAATCCCTTGTAAACACGAGTCAACGGCTATCTTGACAACGAAGAGTCGCGACAAAGAGAAAAATATAGTACAGGGCTACAGGCATAATCCATTCAGCCAGCAATGATAGTCAATCGAAGCCTTGAATGTGGAAGATATCTGATACATTTGCAGAAATCGCAGTACGGACATTTTAATGAGCCCATGTAGTTATGAGTTAGGCGAAGGCAAAATGCGGGGCACGGACAATTTTAATATAGTAGGGCGGGGGAAGATAGACACACGGGGTTAGATGGACACTTTTTTTCAAATTGACCTATTGGCGACATCTTATGGGGCTTGGTTCTGCAAATGCCATTGCCGAGTTCGTTGCTAAGGAGGGAATTCGTTCTAGCCATTTCGGTTCAGCGCTTGGCGTAGTTCGTCAGTTGTGTAGCTTTCCACGTGGCTTGTGATTTTTGAAGAGTGAAAAAAGGGCGTTTAGTAAGGACACGTTTTTCTTGGAGGCACTATATGCTCATTTTCAGCGAAGGAACTCTGAATCGCGCGTTTGTTGGTAAGTTTATACTTACTGACAATGATTTAGGACTAACTGAGCGACTTGTGCCATCTAGCAGCTAACTATATCTTTCAGCATGTGATCATGTAAAAATGGGGGGGTTATGAGGGGGTAATAAATTTCTTGCGTTTTTCGGGCTTATATTTACTTTGACCGTTCAAACCCGTTCTTTGTGAATAAGATACCAGAAAGTCTTCTTTATAATTTTGTTATTGCTTTTACCTGTCAAAACACTTCTTGGATAATCTCAATAATCTTATGAAATTATGGGGGGTGGCCATCTTACCCTTATGTACTATCATGTTTTTCCAGATGCAAGTTTTGGATGCACGGGAAACAGAAAATCCTAAAGAATGTTGAGAAAATACCAAAGAATATCAAACAGAGGCAAATAACAAATAGAGACTACGATGTACCATCTCATGAGGTTAACACCACGACAGAGGTAGAAAGTGTCACAAGTGAACCATGCTGCCCTGTGCTCTCTAACGATTTTTTCAAGTAGAACTTCACCAGGTGTTCAGTTAGTTTCTGATAAAGTCAGTGATTCTTTGAGGCAAGAAAATAGCAGAGACCTGATAGCACCAGTTTATCATTTGAATATATTTGCCTCTTCCAGTAGCCACTCAGAGAGCCAAGAGGCAAAGAAAGCCATTCAGGCAGGAATTAGAGTGTTAACAAGTGAGAATTATGTAGCCGAACTGTCAGCACTCGCAGAAACAACGCCACCTAGCTCGTTCAGGAAAACTACAGCACTCGCAGAAACGATGTCATCTAGCTCGTCTAAGAAAGTTGCAGCTCCCAGGAAGAAAAAAGAAAATAAACGTAAGAATGAGCGACATGAAAGATATTGTTACAGTAACCTCTGTGCTGTCTGCAAGGTCAAATATTTTGACGACGAAGAGGACGAGGGATGGATTCAGTGCCAGAAATGCCAAAAGTGGCTTCACGATATTTGTGCCGGGATTTATGGAAAACACATTGTGTCCTTCCAGTGTGATGACTGCTCTGCTTGAAGCTTTTTTGTATAAATATTTTCATTCGAATGTAAAATTCCATGACGATAGCTTTCATGCTATCCCAGATGTTCTTTTGGTGTTATGATTAACACACACAAATCGTGTGAAAGTATGATCAAATAAAATTTGGCTGCTTTACTAGGTGGTGTTTTATCATACTTTCGTGAACAATTATATGGGTTCACAACTTCAAAAATTTAAGGGGTAAGATGGACATAGGGGGAATTTTCAAATGCCTCAAAAAATTTTCCAAATACATTGCATATTTTGATATTCTGATAAGAAACAGAACGCAATACTAGTATTTTGATGCGATTTTATTACATGTCCGTCATATCCGACCATATGTCCAACTTCCCCGAATTTTTTTTTCGCTTAAAAACGTTTCTGCTGTTGCGATGGTTGGAGACCGGCGGACGCCGCCGAGTGGCTAAAGAGTTCAGCCCCTTATGTTTGTACTTGCAAAGTTTTAGGAATATTTGAAGAAAGGTTTTCGAAATATAGATAATTTTCAATAAGGGGGGCCATCATCCCCCGCCCTACTATATCAGCAGAAAATCAGGTAGCCCACGTTGAGGGTTTTTCTACTAGTAAACATATCCGTGAAACTCAGCTCATTTTTTTAGATTATTTGACGTACTTTTGAGATCTGATGGAGGCGTATTTCTCCGTGAACCTAAAAATACAGCCGACCAAAGTCAGACTAAATTCATGACAACCGACAACACAGAACAGCTTCACATGGTATCTGATGAAAATCCCGGTCAAGAATTCGAATGGTTCATTCTGAAAACTCTTGATGCTATAGGACAGTAAGTTGAAATTTTTAACGCGGTAGACTGACAATGCTAAGTCAAAATATGATCAGTATTGTATGGAAATATAACGATGTGAAACCAAAAAATTCAGATAAACTTTTAAAATTTATTTGTTGTATTTTAATTTCGTCTCATGCGCTTACCAGCTTGTTATAGTGAAATCATATATGAAAATGAATGGTACATTGACCTTGTTTTCAGTACTTATAACGCCTGGTATAAGCATCCAGTAGTTGAACTTATGCTCTATGTACCTTCTGCCGTATTATCTTATTTGTTGATTAAGAAATTATGATAGGTCTTGAGTGAACTCTTGCGTATATATTAATTTTTCAGACAACATCGAATGCCTTTTCATGTTGAAATGTACGTTTATCAAGGATCTGAAAAATGGATAAGTCAGGAAGTTCTTGCTCAAACTAAAATCGCAGTGAACCAAACCAGCACCCAACATGAATGGCGAGTCACTATAGGAGACCGTTGGTCGTTCCATACGGGTGTTTATCATGCTCACCATGTAGTTCGTAATGGTTTGGATCTGATACTTCTGGACATCGTCGATGATGAAAAAAGGTACATTTTTCATGTTTAAATAAATATATATTATCACATGTATATATATGTAATCACCTTTGTGACGAATGATTATTACGCGGATATTTCTCTCGCAATTAGGACTGCTAAATATGTTCTATACGTTATTTTGTGTACATCGTCATCCACCGATCATTTATGTGTTTTTTTAACAGTCGATTATTTCCCGCGAAAGGAGTTTCACAACGATACATGTTTCAGTCTCCACAAAAAAAAGTTTTGTATTTAGGCCACGGCAGTCGGACTGTGACACTGAAAGCTAAAAGTCATGCTACCTGGTGGGAACCAATATTAATGCATATGCCATATGTGGGAAAATACTCCCTCGTATATTATTACCCACCGCTTCGTGAAAGAGATCTCCCATCCCATTCTCAAGCCTGCACCGTTACTATTTAACTTTCAACCGGTTCATGTGATAAGTACCATAACATGTCAATCCCCGAAAAACGCGCTCACTTACCTTGTCCATTCATCATTTTTCAAATTTTGCCAGACATATACACAACAAATTTTTCATATTTATTCGATATGTATCCAAGTTTTATTACCATATTATTAGTGCGTGTTGTACATCATAAGTGAAGTCGTGTGTCGTTTGTCAATTCTGATATCATGGAGCTCAACCATTGACCATCGTGTTATCAACATGACAGCACTGTAATACAAAAATATCTGATGGTTTCAAAATTCCTACCAAATGCACAAAAAACGAGGCAAGAACACTTTAAAAACACTTTTGTTTAGGCTTCGTCCCGTGGGTAATTTAAATTCAATTTCAACCGGATGTGAGTAAAAGCATGAGAGCATTTGCATAAGCCATAAAAATATACAATACTTCCAAGCTCAATTGAATAACAACGAAAACTTAAAAGATTTGCATAAGAATGGCTTTTTATATATCACAAAAATAGAAAACTTTTCTGGGATCTTTTGTACAAAGCCCCCGCCACCAATGCAAAAATGTGAGTCCCCGCGACGTTTTATAATACTAAATTAGTAATTATTCAGTTAGGGTTCGGGTTATGAATGAGTTAAAAATTTGAATTTTCATCGCAAGCTGCATTCCTAGCCCTCACCCTAACTTTAACTGGATAGGTTTTTTACTAAAGATCGCTTTTCTGACACTAATCACCTCATCATGAATGTAGTGGAATTTAGTACTAGGTTTGATTGGGATTATCGGGCACAAACGGTTATCTAATATATATATATATATATATATATATATGTAATTTGTAGTTGTTTAACTGTCTAAGCCAGGGGTCGGCAACCTGCGGCCCGCGGGCCGGACTCGGCGCGTGGAGTAATATAATCCGGCCCGCGACGCTTCACTGAGTTATAGTAACAAAACAGCTGTTTTGACGATTATATTCTTAACGTATCACAATTTATTGCGAGGCGCGTGTAGACTAAATTATATTATAATCTAACAAGTATAAAATTCACAATTACTCGTTTAATTCACCTATAATATAATTATAATTAGACAAATGGCAAAAAAACGCAGAAAAGTTGATGCTAAGTGCAAAGGATTTAATGGTGCCGGAAATATTCAAATGGAATTTTTTGAGATACAATGCAGTGTATCATTGCTTGATTTTTATTATAAAAAATATCACTCGTTCGGTTTTCAACTTTCTGAAATTATCTGAAATTATTATTTAATGATATGCAACCCTTATTTGGCCCGCGAGTGACAAAAGGTTGCAGACCCCTGGTCTAAGCCATGACAATTTATAATAACAGCACTTTGACAACCAATATTTCTGACCTTACAAATTTAAATTAGATATTTGAACTGAGTCAATTTGCATGCTATTTTCAACTGGATGGAAAAAATAAATTTAACTATGAAATAACGGACATCGATTTAATTTAGCAGAACGTCTGGACTCAGATCAGTGATGAATCGCTTTGAAAAAGATGCGAGTGAAGATCTATATTTACCCTATTGAATACGCTATCATAAATACACAGTTGAATCACAAAGCGATCCCGATGCAATGTCGTGCGCAATATTGGGTGGAGTTGATATCCAACGGTACCTGTAGACTTTCTACATGTTCTTTGCTAAATAACCTTTTACTATCGAAATTATACTATCTCGCCGACCCCAATACATTTTCCACTAGAAATGCTCGGGACTAGTGCTGAATTCAAGTATTCTTACAAAAAAATTTTAAAACTTGGGTAATTCAAGTAATCAAAACGGTTAGAGACAAAATGGTATATTTATATATTATTCACGTTATTTATTACATGACGTCATCGATTTTAGTGTATATGCTATTGACACCACAAATACTTTATTTCAATACCAAAATAGTATTTTTGTCGTAAACAAAAAGCCAAGGGTTAATAGCGTTTTATTTCGGTATAGTTAATTTTTCGTGGCAGGCTCTATTTCGTAAATTATTACATTTTATCTTCAAGCTTTAAGCGTGAGTCACTTGGATAACCAGTCTCTGTTCACATCTTACAAATTTTAACTAACCCATTATCATTATTTTATGTTAGAATTGGAGGCAATACAAATATGTAGCAATCAATTGAATGTGTACTCTGATAGAGTGTCAGGAAGTGATTATACACCACACCCATTTCGCCGATATTTGCACACCCAAGGACGCCGCCACTCATCAACTTTTTTTACATATTTACGTTTGAACTGCCGTGTCCTTCATATAATTCTGATTAAGGGAAATTGTTATAGGAATACGGAGATTTATCAACGAAAATGCAGATTCGTAATCTTCTGAAAAATGGTTTTCGGGTGACGAGGTTGGAGAAAACAAACCAATATGTAATCACTTAGCTATGACAAATGACCCTGGTTTACCCACGCACTTGCAAAAAAAATAAGATTATTTTTGATATTAGCTGAATAAACAACAAACTTACAATAATAAATACTTGGAATAAATAACAGATAACTTGGCCACTCCTTAATTCTAAATATTCGTACCCAATGGTTCAGCCCGATGTGTCATTTATATACCAGAATCAGATAAAATTAAGTATTTACTAATTTTCTCGCTTCGCGACTGTTAGTTGGAAGAGTCACTTCTCGGAAAGGTCGTTGAGTTTGTCGTCTTTTTTTTATTAACTACTTGCTATGCGAAACAATTTGCGAGTAACAAAAAGTAGGAAACATCGTAAATTCATGAAAAACGTACATAAAAAAGCATTAAAAGTACTATTAAAAATATATGTATACGATTGATTCTATTCACTTTGTTATGTATCGTATTGTCGCCATCAGTAGCCTACTTTTTCTTATTCAATCTAGATATTGTTAACTCGACGACATTTTATGCAGGTCTTTACTTCCATTACTGCAGAAATTTATTAAGTGCATTTTCAAATTTCAGATTGTTAATAATTATCTATAGGCTGCTAGGTGGCAGTGGTTTTCAACCGTATAAGACATTACAAAGTAGGCTTGCACGTAATTTACGGATTTACGTAATTACGTAATTATTTGGAGTTACGGAAGGGAAGTTACGAATTACGTAAAGTCGTAATTATTGCATTGAAACGAGCTTTCTTCAAAGCAGTCAATTTCGTCTATTGCGAAAAATGAAAGCTCAACAAGGAGAAGAAGTTAGAGTTCCGGTATTCGCAGCCGTTTTTCTCTCTCTTGTTACGTAGGTGAAGGAAGGCATGACGCGTTGCCATTTAGTAACCTATTATCAACTTCTCTGGCATGGCCAATGTAAATTATCAACGTAGTTAAGGGGTAAGAACTGAGAAGGGCCGTTTGACGCCAACACACCTGGTTTTAACTTCTCCCGCAACTTAACCGTAGATAGGGGATAAATTGCGTTGAGACCGGTTGACGCCAACACACCTGGTTTCAACTTCTCTCGCATCTTATCTAGCATGGCCATGGCCAATGTACATAATAACCGTAGATAGGGGGAAGAATTGTGTTGAGACCGATTGACGCCAACACACCTGGTTTCAACTTCTCTCGCATCTTATCTAGCATGGCCATGGCCAATGTACATAATAACCGTAGATAGGGGGAAGAATTGTGTTAAGACCGATGGACGCTAACACGCCCGGTTTCAACTTCTTCGGGTGAAATGACTAATGAACACAGGAGATCAATCTATCAAACACGGTCTATCAAACATTTGTATCCATTTTACTTCTATTTATTATTTACTTGTTCTAGTTTTCCGTTACTTATGGTATATATGTTCCGTTTCTATTTTATTCTATTTTATAGTCACGCGTTTAAATAGTGGGAATTCCCCACCAAGTGTGGATTAGCAATGCTTAACCATTCTTTATTGTTAATATCAACACTTGATATATGAACATGGAATATCATACTGTTTTTGGCTGTTTTATTTCAGACTTGGGGTATAAACGAGAAAATATCCATAACCTTTCAACACGACGATCTTGTGAAATTTAACGAAGAGCTTTCGCGACGAATTGGAACCAAATAAGCGAAAAGAGCGATTGATCACTCGCGCCAATACCTCGCCGTGATAATTAATGTCGCGCTTATCAAATAGCAATATGGCGAAAAAAGAGAGATTGCGTAATGAACCAAAGCAACTTCGTCTTCTCGGCATCGGTAAAGCGATTGAGACGACAGAGAAACAGCAAAACGACGGATTCCTCGCGGACCGCTGAAAATTTAACTGCTATCATATATAATCAAATATGAGCCAGTGTGTTCATTCTGTGCGAGATCCATTTTCTATTACAAAATCTTGATGTTCTGTTTACGGTTTTATCGTTATATATCAGTCCGGACTTGGCCTTGCTCATGATGTTTTTCACAATTCCTCTCAATATTTCGGCCATATATGATTAACTGTCTTACCAAATGCAGCAACTTATTTTGATTTATCGTCGACTTGAATACCACCGGCACTCGACCAAACTTGTGTCAATCTTGACCGATAGGATCGCCGACTTGAGTTAGCAAATAAATGTCGTGAGTGTAAAATAAATGTCACAAAATGCATTGTTTTGCGATATAACTTTGTATTTTCGGAGAAGGCATATCATATAAGTTCGATATTTAAATTATACGCAAATGAATAATATTTGATCTAAATTTATCGCAAATAATGTTATAAGCATTCAGTCCGCGAAATGATTAAATGTAAAATGAAGCATGGTAATCGGAATATCGTCAATAAGTCGACATCAATAATTATTATTATAAAATGTTAACAAGGCAGTAATGTCGGATAATGCAGGAGACGCTGCAAAAACAAGTCTTCGTCGCGAGGAAATCGCAAGTATAAACAAACGAGAGAATACGCTCGTCGTTGGTTAATAAATTAGAAACCCATAATTTTTATTCAGTACTAAGGTGGTTTTAAAAAACTATCGTTTCCATAAATATCCGTATACCAGTGTCGGTAATGATAAAATAAAATTGATCGCATAAAAATGGGACGGTTAATTTGCGAAGGTGATAAAGGAAAACCAAAGCTAACACAAAAGATAAAAATCAGAATAAAATTAATTTGAATTCACTCCTTGATATTTGTCTTTAACATCTGCCGACGGCGTGTAGTACTGCCAAGAATATGAAAACCCAACTTCAATGTCCCATTCGGAAAAGAAGTGGATTCAATTGGTTGTTATGGTAGGTTTAAATGCGTGGAAAAATATCGCAATTACGGGGTCATTACGTAATTGATTTTGCCGTAATTACGGAATTGATTTTTGTCAATTACGTGCAAGCCTATTACAAAGTCTCGTGGAATATAGCTTTGCCCTTCCGCTTCTGAAAAATTATTTTTGTCCCAAGACATACACTGTGCATAAAGTCTGCGGCAATTTTGCAGCCAAATTAGTTTGGGATGGGGCAAATCCGTATTGTTAAACTAGCTAGCGTTGAACACGTGGTTGGGAGGCTCGATAGATTTAAAGAGTTTTGAGGTATCGATGTTGAATTCTTGTCGCTAATGTATGCAAAATACTGTTCCAGCTCATTCATTCCTTCACGACTGTTTGTTCCGCCTCCCATATTTTCACAAAGCTATCGAACTAACAGAGTTTTAATCGTTTATTATCATTCTTTTCGTAAATCGAGTTTCTATTAAAAACAGCAAAATGAGTTCGGACAACAGTAATACTTCTCATCAGTTGATCGTCCCGGCCTGGGTCGGAGAAGATCAATTCATAATTGCTAGGGGGAAAAATGGTCATTTGGAACAGTGGCACACGTTCAATCATTTGAAAGCTGGAGATAAAATTTCGACTGGAATTTCTACGCAACCTCATTACTGGCGTTTGGAAAGGCTTGCATACGACGATACCTATGGTTGGAGTTTTTATGCGATCAACAGCTCGGGCACTAAATTATACGTGACATATGATGATAATGGGAATATACATCTGCGTTCATCAGTAATGGAATCAACAAAACGGTAGGCTATTTCAAAATTATGTTCTTTGGTAACTATTACAAAAACAATTATGTATGTATAAATATATACATAATGCGTTTAGAGTTTCCCTATACCTTGGCAGTGATAGATTTGTTATTTTCGAAAAAATTCAGAAATATTACTCAGGTTCAGTTTCACTAATGTTGTTTAGTTATTTTATAATTTTATGTCATTGTAATACATACGAACACAGTAAGAACTGTTCGAACTATGCAAAAGCCAGTAAGGTAAGATTCCCATAAACAATGAACAAATAATAGAAATAAAGTTTTCATGCATAGTGTCGGAAGAATACATAGATCAAAATAGGAAAAGAAGGCAAAAGGAATCAAAAAAGTTGACAATCACGACACTGGAGGTTTCTTTTTACATTTCTAACATATTTTTGTCCGAAGCCGTCATCATAAGTTTAGAGGTGGGCTATAATGTTTTCCGTGGTCGTTTGCACCGGGCGGGGTGACTGTTCATATTCAAATTGAGATATTCATTTCGTCATGCAAGAATCAACAGAAATCAAAAGAAAAGCATAGTGAGCTAAAAAAAAACGGGAAACATTGATTCACAGCAATTGACGGGGGGTCGCGAAAGACTTAATGAGTCATCTAGTCAGCGACAGCTTGAATCATGTAAAAACAACAATATATATATTCCATAATTATTTGTTGATTATTATGATATACATCCAAAATTGTAATTAGGATACGATAGTTTTTTCAATGTTTGCTGTTGAACACACCTTGTGATTTAAATTGAAAATACAGTGCTGTATTACTTTTATTATCCGTTTTCCAATTTTATGGGACAAAATTATGACTAGTCGACCGCCTAATTATCAAATCTACTGCTTTGTGAACATGCGGTAGTCTGGGAACGTTTACTTCGAATTTATACTCCTCCAATCTAAGACTACTCTTAAATAAATTTGTGCCATATATACGTCAAGGCCTAATAGTTAACTAGCTTTACTTTACCGGATCGCCTTCTGGTATGCTATCACATTTTACCAAATTCATTACCATTCCGCTCGTACCTTTTGATAAATGAGATAAAAGTGTCAAACACATCGTAACGGGTTGAAATGCACGGCACAGTTGATTTTAAATGTACAACGTTGATTTTTATATTTATGAATTTGTTCTTATAGCAATGCCCATTTTCAGATTATTTGACGCACTCTTGAGATCTGATGGAGGAGTATTTCTCCGAGAACCTAAAAATACAGCTGGCCAAAGTCCGGCTAAATTCTTGACAACGGACAGCACAGGACATTTTCATATGGTTCCTGATGAAAATCCTGGCCGAGAATATGAATGGTTTATCTTGAAAACTCTTCACGCTATAGGATAGTAAGTTGCATTTTTAAGTGACAGAATCGAACTGAATTATTTCAAGTAATAGACAAACGTAAAGATATTTGAACCGTAGAAATTGGAATTGAGCACCAAAATACAACCCCACTGCGGCAATATTTAACAAATCTCAAAAAATAACTTCTTGGTGCTGGTGGTATCACGCGTGGAATAGGTATTGTAAGGTATTGAAGGTATTGTAATTCACGGTAATTATTCATCTTTAACTTATTACCAATGTACCTGCTACAGTACTACCTTCTGTTAACAGGAAATTATGATAGAACTCTTGCTCATTGATTTTTCAGTCAACATCGAATGCCTTATTATGTTGAAATGTTCGTTCATGAAGGAACTAATAAATGGATAAGTCAATATGTACATGCTCATACTGAAATTCAAGTAAACCAAAGCAGTATCCAACATGAATGGCGAGTCACTACAGGAGACCGTTGGTCGTTTTTTAGTGGTGTTTACCATGCTCACCATGTTGTTGCTGGTGGTTTAGATCTCATACATCTCGACATCGTTGATATTGAAACAAGGTACTTTTCACATATTTAAATTAATATATATATATTAGTAAATTATCACTGTTATGAATAATTTTACAAGGATATTGTTCTAGCAAATGCTAAGTAGCAATTGTGTTCTCTGCGTCAACAACCGATAACTTCTTTTTTTTCTTTTTAACAGTCGATTGTTTCCCGCAGAGGGAATTTCTGAGCGATACATGTTTCAGTCGCCACAAAAAGAAGAATTGTATGTAGGTCATGACAGTGGGACTGTAACACTGACTGCCAAAAGTCATGCTACCTGGTGGGAACCAACATTAATGCGTATGTCATATGTGGGAAAATCCTTCCTCGTACATTATTACCCGCCGCTTCATAAAACAGATCTTCCAGCTCATCCTCAACCCTGCACCGTTATTATTTAACTTCCAATCAATTCATGTAATAGATAATACAAATTTTCAACCCTAGAGAAGCACGCTCACTCACATTGTTACCCTCATAATTTTTTCAAAATTTTAGCTGCATACAATTATGTATTTTATATTTAATGGACATGTATCTGAGTTCTAGCGCGCCATAGGCCACTGGTGGGATTCAAGGGGTTCACGCTAAACCGTTGGCGCTCCTGAAGTATGCGTATCGAAATGGCGGACACTGGAACGTAGTATGTGTACCAGGTTAGGGTTAGGCCATAATTTTAGGTACAATTCCTACGGGAGTCACTTGGCTAGTCCAAGAATTTGTAATAGAACTAAAATAAGGAAAATTGGGATAAAATTATGGCCCAACCCTAACCTGGTACACATACTACGTTCCGATGTCCGCCATCTTGAAACGCATACTACAGGAGTATTAAACCGTTCTTGAAATAATGTCATTATTGGCGAACCCGTTCCTGTTTTAGGCGTAGTTCGGCAGCAGAAAATGGGTAACGTGCTTTACAGCTGACGATTTCTATTCATGTAAAGCGATTCATGTTAATGTAGCTTTCGTATAGTGACATATATTTTTTTTTTCCAAAATATGGAAACCCATTGTCATTGAGTTCGATAAAAAAGAGTACCCGTTCTGAAAATATTCAATTCCAACGCTGATCATAGCCCAACATGTGTTGCCCATCATAAAAAAAGTATGAAATTCAAAAAAAAAAAAAATTTGTGTTCCATCTGTGTTCTGATATTATGGGGATCTATCTTCGTCTCGTATAGCGATTGCAGCACCGATGTACAAAGATAGCGTGTTATTCTAGTTAATGATAAAGAAGAGCGTGATAAAAATTTGATGGTATCAAAATTTCACCATTCGGCCAAAAAGGTTAGACCACCCTGCACTAAAGAATGCGTTTCACTTACTTAACATCTTCTGAATAGCGTTTCATCTCTTCAAGACATTCTCATAGAATTCGGTTCCTAACTAAAAGAATGAAAAACCAGTGTAAATTACATTCTAAAATGGGTATTCTTCCTGATATTTTACATAATTCTTGTAGACTTTATTCATGCGAAAACATTTAAGCTCAATTTTGATATGATTGCTTTTTTATACCTACTCTGTTGCTTCGAACTTTAACACTCGAACAACTTAATTATTGCAATGACGTTTTAATGCCCCTATATAGACGTTACTTTGAGTCATCCACCATCTACATGTTTTAAGTAACCAATGCCATACACTCACATAAAAACTTTTTGTTGTTATTTTAGTCATCAATCAAAAATGTCAAGTTCGTTATTATCATCATCACATATCTTTTCACATCTAAAGCCCTTGTCTTTCACGTTATAAATATTAAGTGGTACTGGTAATTCAATTTTTAGGGAGCTCGTATTTGGAGCTTTTCAGTTTGTGAAAACCAGAGGGTGACAACATTCAGCGAATTGTGGGCCAAAAATCGAATCTACAACGCGGACAGAAATGATTTTCCTCAGAGAAACCTTTTCCATTTGGCATTGATAGAATGTTGCTACTCGACATATTGTCTCAATTATATTTTAGACATACGAACCCAATAACTAGGGGTGTGTGGCTTATCTAGGATGTGGCAAGCATGGCTTGTGCCATAGTCACTGTTTGGGCAGGGGCGCAAAAAGAGCGGAAAGTTTTAATCGTAAAATGTTTTAATAGAATAATTTCAAATTGGAAATAACTGAAACTCGTATTTCTACACAAATAATACCGCACATGTATCTCATTTAAATAACAGTCATTATAAATTGTCAACTAACTATCAAGGGAGGCGCATTTTAAACTTTGCCATGGGCGCCATAGATTCGCCCTTGCTAGGGGTAGAAAAATTGCATTTTTTCATCGAATATTTTCAACGAATACGGATTACGGAATAGTTCTAATCTACAATTGACCAGGACGTGGCGGGTCGATGATAGATCCAGAAATTAAACTTAATTAAAAGTAACTCATGTCGTGGGGTATCTGTGGATGCTAGCGTAGGGTCTTGTTCGAAGCGACAATGGGGATCATTATGAAAAAAATCGTCTGATTTTGTTATAATCGCTGTATATGTTTAGTCAGCGTGATTTTTCTTGCTGTCTACACCATAACGTCGGTAGAACATTTTTCTGCCAATTATTATTTTTTAAATGTAGCATATTAAATATTGTCTAGAATAAAATTTATCTAGAATATTATATGGCTGTAGTGGTGGAAGGTTAATGCGACAAACAGCATGTTCCATCATTTATTTGTTGTTTCGCTATTTTCTTACGTTGCCTAGACATGTGATTCCTAACAACGAATGAAAAAGCATCTTCATTTTGCGGTCTCCTTCACCCTCTTTGTTTCTTTATTATAATCACGCTTTTTTCACCCTTTGTAAGAAGTATGCCAGGTCCTATTTTTTGTCTTGTATAGCAATTAAAATTGCGAAGTTTTCCACCACTGGACTACCCTTCCAATTTTCTTTTGCACGTGCAGACAAAAGTGGATAGTAGACGGAATCTTCGGCATAGCTGTACATGGTAGCTACAAGTGAGTTTTTATCAACACAGTCATTAAATATAGCCCATGTAACGACTGATAGAGACGGGGTAATTACTTGTTATTGGACACAAACTGTACACATCGTTATGCTCTATTATGTTGTTGTTTTTTTGTTCATGTTCATCTCCTTGTTAGTATCTTCTTTCTGTTTATATATATTTCAGAAATTAGAAATCGGTGATTGAATTTCTTCAAACGAAAAAGGAAACGTTTTCATTTGGAAAGCAAAAGAAGTGACTTTCTGATACGTCTCAAATATAAGAAAGTATGTAAGTAAATATATTTTTTGCAATTCGAATCCTGATTTATTTTTAAACAAACTTAAAGATTCAATTTTTTTAATAATACTCAACGGGCATAATCAGAATCCGATGTTTGTGTTACCGAAATTGTAGTGTACAATTAGACGTTAATGTATTTAGTGGAAGCTGAAAACTGTTTATGAAATTTATGTAGTATTTCCGCTGCGTCTGAGACAAAAACAAGTATGGATTAAACAATTTAATTAAAAGAAAATTGAAATTATCTTCAAAAATTTTCAACGTACAGTGTTTTCTACAGTGGTTTTATTTTGGTTCAGAAATTGGCAATCAGTGCTTGAAAGTATTGAATGTAAGTGAAAAACATGTGGAGCAATTTACGGCTTTCCGGCGTTTCTCAAGCATAAGCCGGGTAGGTTAACTTTTTATCATAGACTCGTTTGAATTTATTTCCTTCAGCGTTCCGGGACGAGGAGAATTTTGCTCAGTATTTGCCGAAATACAGCTACTAATACTCTGAATTTCTTTATTATTAATAATACTATAATGAATTATTATAACACAGTTAAATTGTACAAAAGTGTGAGTGCGCATGATCCATCAAGTCAAAAAATAATAAAAAAGTTCCAAAATAAGCGAAGGGAGTTTAATTTAACGATAAAGGTTGGAACACTCATCTAAAATTACTCTTACTCTTTGCCAGTGGCCGTGTTTCATAAATTGCATTCAATTCACACTGAAATTAGTTCCTATCATTATTCCAAGCCGAAACATTCTATCTGTACCGTCATAGGCATACATGTGTTGAGTGAAATAAAAATGAATACAAAATAACATTGGTGGAGGTCATTTCTTTCGTAAATTCGTAAGACGACTTGATTACGTGGACATTACGGCTTCTCGTCCGGTGATCAGTCCATATCTTCTATCGGGATTGGTTAGCTAGTTATTATTGGTCTTGGATGCATGAACTCAATGGTGGAGTTATGACGGAACAGTTGTACGTAAATCACCTCCAGGAGTCCAAGAGGGAAACCAGGAGTCCAACAATCCTCTTCCACATAATTTAACCCCGCATGATTCAAACCTACACCAGAGTATTTAAAGATTCCCATGACTTACTACGTTATCATGTTGAAACCCTGCTGGAGACGCGCGCGTGCTTCAGCTTAAGGTCCACAATCATCAAATACTTCTTCCCTTTGCCTATTTCTTCTTGTTATGCGTAAACAACTCTGGTTTCAGTTTTCTTCAGGTTTATCAGATAGTTGCGCACAACTTGCTCTCTAGCGTTCAAGGTTTAAGTAGTTGTGTGCTTCAATACCACGTACAATAACGCTAAATAAGTAAATTTTAAAGTAAGTACTATCCACATATAGAAGTTTCCTTCTCTGAAACAATAAAATAATAAAAAAACATTTATAGTGCTTATCAGTTACCAGCACGTTCTTAGTCAAATGCGTTCCTTATTTTGAGTATTATCGTTTGTGAGTCTCGTGACCAAATTCGGTTAGTGGTCCATATTATTGTGTAGATTTGAATATATATGCTTTATTTCAAGGGTTGTCAAACTTTATTTTCTATTTCAGTCCTATTTTTTCCCAATTTTGTAAACTTGCCACAAGAACTTCAAGGTGCAGAATGTATTAAATGTATAAATGTGCAATGTTTACATTAAAGCTCTTAGCTAGTTCGTAACCAAGAAACATGGTCTACCTCCGTAGTGAGAGCATAATAACTCGTATTACACAAATCCTAAAGCTCGGAAATGCCCGCGGTGACAGATTTTACCACCAAATTAATACTTGACAATAGCGTGTATAAAACTCAAATATATACGATTATCAAAATAAGTTCTTTGTCAGCGCTGCTTCCTCTCGCTACTCGTTTTGTGTATCTTGGTGGGTTAAACCAAATTTTCGACGTTAAAATTCCTTGATTGCTAATTTACCCTGTTCATCCCCAGGGGCTAGTTTTATACTATACTGAGATCCCCCAGTTTTTATTTCATAACTAATCCACAAGATGGATTAGAGAAATTGAATTGCAAATCAGTAGTTACTCATTACCCAAGCATATAATATTCTTCGAACGAAACTCTATAGCAGTGGTTCTCAAACATTTTAAGCGGGGCCTTTTTTAGAAGTTTCGCGCCCACCTCAAAAATAACTTGCCTAACAAGCTACAAATAACGGATAGTTGAACGAAAGTATGCTTTATTCAAATATACATGTTAAAATACGTAAAAAGAAAGTGAATATCCAAAATAAGACGGGAAAGATCAATCTAACAAATCTTTATATTTTTAATTAGCTGAACGCAATCTAAAAAATTGTCT